AAGTTTAGATTTTTATTTAAGATCTAAACTTTGAAGACCTGAACACAAGCTATATTCACAGAGCCTTCCGTTTCTTTCCTGCATTAGAAAAGTTCCAACAAGTTCAAAGAGCTGATAAAACAATGGGAAGAAAACACTGAATTAGTATGTATGATTGTTAGAATATACTGTATGTGTGTATATGTATTACAGACAGAAAATTGTATAAAATGTTCCAAAAAATATCAATTGAAGTCATCTCTGATCAGTATTTACAGGAAATAATCTGCTCTAAATCAATTGAAATTGCTAATTTTACATTAACTCCCTAAAATATACCACTTAGTCAGGGGTCACCAGTTTACTCACTGATAGAAAAAGGGGTCCCTCAAGAAAAACTGGTTGGGAACTGCTGCCTTATATGAAACATAATGTGTTCTCTGTTCATTGCAAGTACATCCAGGCAGCACGATTTAGTTGCAGGTTTTATGCTATCTGAATTAGACATCACATTACCCTGTGCTGTTTGTAATATTGCAGTGGATTAAACTGTTTGTTTTTAATTGCTAAATTCTTTTTGGTGGCTGCCAGAACATAATTCTAAATCTCTACTATTAGGACATACTAATACTGGGAACATAGCGTATTTATTCTTTTGTCTGAAGGTCTGAAGGTCTGAAATTCAAGGCGAGAGAAAAAGTGTCTTTAAAGGGTCGTCATCTATTAGGTGATGGATGAGGTGGAGGCTGAGATGATAAATGATTTCTGCTTGGTGTAATCACTTGTGAGTCAGCGCCATATCCACTGACCACAGTGTTACATTGACATTCAGACTCTGTTTGTGTGTGTTTGTTTTTTTTTACTCATCACAGCTGCTGTTGTGCGTGTTTACTGTATGTGCATGTGTATGTGTACATTTTGTGATGTGCAGTTGAAGCAGAGTTGTAATTAAATCAAAACAATAAGGCAAATACCAAAATACTTTGCGAAAGTATGTATGTAGTATGTTCTTTTTTGACACATCTGTCTGTAATAGAGCATCTTAGTTTTGATCTTTGTCCATCACACCAAATTGTGACACAAATTTTCAGCTTCTTTGTTAATAAAAGTAATAATGAGTTGGTACAAAAGATAAAATTAATATAATGTTACATTTGATGAGTGAATCATTTTTAATTGACCTGTTTATCTCTCTCCTGGCTTTTGTAGACAGGAGTGGGAGTTAATTCCAGAGCCTAGTATGGTTGGAAAATTAAGTCATGGATAAAAAAAAAAACGGATTGTGCTTTGAATTTACTCCTGGATAGAAGTCACACCTTTTCAATAGGGTTAAACTTGGTTTTCTGACAGTTTGAAGGAAGAGTGTGTGCTTCAGCATAATGCGTGTGAAGTGTTTTTTTCTCCCATGACTAGAGAATGCATAATAGGGGGCGTTGATTGTTACTGTTTTCATGTGCGTGCATCTGTTTGTAGGTATGTGTGGGTGTAGTGGACGTGCACATGCATGTGTATGTTGAGTTTGTGTGGCTAAATTTGCAATTAGTAAATTTGCAGGGGCTGTTTTGTGTGTGTGTGTGTAAATATTTGGTCTCTATTCATTGTATATTTAATTATTTTAGTGTGTTCTGTTTTGGCTTTTTAGCTCTGTTAGTTGAGATGCTCTACCAGTTGCGAGTGCTGGTGCTGACAGCCAGGGCCCAAGGGTTGATCTAGTGTGAGTCTGCTGTCATCTCTCCATTGACTGGCTCTGCAGCCTGTGACTTATTATAGTCATTCATCAACAACAGGTCTCTCTACTGGCCTGTCTGTCTTTCCTTTCTGTCTACCTGTTAATCTCCACGACACAGAGCTTCCCCACTTTGCAGCAGTGTTAAACACTCAGTGATTGAAACTACCTTTTCATTTGTCCCTCATTCTGATCACTCTGCCTTTTTTTTGTCTGGTCTGCTTATCCGACAACACTTAGATCACTCAGATCCACTGAATCTGAGTGATCTTTACCTTGTGAATAAAGCTGACTAAACCTGTTATTTTACTTGAAGTCTTTGTACGTGATTCTTTTCATTTCTGTCTCTACTGCAAGGTCTTACAAATATCTGTGTTCACAATGATGACTTGTTAGAGGATGTATCATCTCTAACAACACAAATAAAAAGAGTGCATTCCAGTTGTAGACACCTAAGTTTACCCATCAAGTGTTGTGTCAATAAATAAGTTCTTAAATGTGCCACTGAACTTAAACTGAAGACTTAAACTTTATTTCTTTAACAGCATCTCTCTCTCTCTCTGTCTATATATCTGTCTCTGTCCAGAGTTGGACAACCCAGAGGCCAGGGTGACAGAGATCCATGCTCTGGTGCACCGGCTGCCTGAGAAAAACCGACAGATGCTGGAGCTGCTGATGAAACACCTGGCCAAGTAGGTGGAGATATTATACACATGCAGTCTTTCGTTATTATGCTGCATCGGACGTTGTGCACCAGAGAAACAGCACAGTATTTCATTTTTGCAGTTACTATGTATACGCTAATAGCCATCTCCTCTTCTCTTTTTAAACCCACATTGCTGTAATACTTCTTAGCTTGATTATTGTTCATCCTCGAGGAGGATTAGGGCTCTGTGTAACCTCTTGACCACATGCATTAAGGTAGTGTGTACTGAAAATAGAAACCCATTCAGCAGTCACCAGGCCATATCTATTTGCTGATTTAATCCCTTGAAGTTAAAGAGGGATAATGGTCAAGTGCAGGTCTTTCCATGGATGCCAGGAAGTATAGGAGCTACCATTTTTGTGTGATTTATATATTTTTTGTGTGATTGTATATTTTAAGCACCATTGCACCAAGACAAATTCCTCGTCTGTGTAAAAACCTACCTGGCAATAAATCTGATTCTGATTCTGATTCTGATTCTGATGTTCGCAGCCTAGTAAAGACACATTTTCTGATTGGCAGCTCAAAAGGTGTCCCCATGTTTATATATTGTATCCCTTTTTTAACCTAGGCATCTAGATGTCTTTTGATCTGCAAATCACAAAACCACTGCTAACTAGGGGACAATATGATGCTACTAACCTTCTGATTGCATCTTTGCTCAAGGACTTTTCAGCAGGATAGATGCTGATGAGCACTCAGGAAGTTCAATAAATGTGCTCCTGAAACTCTCTGTTTTTCTTATGAAGGCCAATCCCTGACAAATGACTCCTCATTTTTTTTCTTTCAGCACTTTGCCTCCACATTTGGATGCATTTTTGTGCTGTACATAGGCAACAAAATACTGTATAAACAAGAACATTTGTGAATCAAACAGGCTGTCTGTCTGTAGATTACATAACCACAAGCTGCTGCAGCCCATAAGCAAAAAGGCAGGGCATGACACTGTTGGCTTATGTGCAGTTATTCCTCTAATGTAGCCGACTGGTATTGTGGTTTCACTCTAAACCTGCATCTAAGCCCTCTGGCTTTATCTGGCTTTTCTTCAACAGCAGCGGCATGTTTTAATGTGTGACAAATAGGATATCAGCCATATTTATACAACATGTAATCGGGTGCAAATGCAGGTATTTTAAGGACATGCACATCTTTACCTGGGCTTAGTGGATTACACCTGCCTTATAGGTTGAATGACTGAATCACAGTAAACACACCTCCCGTCTCTGTCTCTTTCAATTCAGATCAGATGATTCATTGGCATCAGTGCTCTGGAAAAACAATATTGTCACAGGGAATAAATGGTTATTCTGTCACTAGAGAAAATACACTCAGCTGCCAGTGTATTAGGTAGACTCAGCTAAAATGTCTACAGTCTCTATACAAAAGTCTTGCAATAAATCCTACTTTCATGAAAGTCATAATATAAAAAGGTGTTTCTGTTGTTTAGCCTATCCTCATTTATATAAATGTGGTGGGCAAAATAATGGAAACACATCAGTATAATGCAATATAATTCAACACCTCTCCAAAACAGTTTAAACAAAAACTGAACATTGCAACCTTCTTGAAGTTGTGGATTTCTTGCAGGACTGTCTATATATAAGCCCAGTCAGACCAGACATTTGCAACGAAAACGAAAAATTTGAAAACCTTGCTCATTCCCACCAATGTATCGTCTCCATAGCAACAACTGTCTGTACTTCTGTTATAACTGCTAGCGTCTTTGGTTGTCTGTTTACATTCATTTGGACTCATGTTTCAGGCAACCTGATGAATGCAAGTGAACTATTAACTCCTAAATATAAAGATGTATCTCCTTTCAGCTCTGTTTGGTGTCCACTAACTCCTAAGATATCTGGCTGTATTGCAGCTAAGTACTCGCACTATGTTCACGAGCTAGTCGCTAATTTTATCTGTCTGCCGTGGTGCTGGAAAGGTAGCTTACAGTGGTGGACATGTTCGTCAGAGATGGAGGTGGGGTGGATTAAAGCGGTGACACTAAACCGAAACAGTAAAAGTTCTGGCCATAAAACCAAAACGATCTGAAAGATGCTAATATTCTTTGGGGTCATCCCTATGTCTCCCGGTCCTATGTTCGCGCCGGTCCTATGTTCCCCGGGTCTATGTTTCCCCGCTAAAGGTTAGGGTTAGGTTAGGGTTGGGTTCCCCGGTCCCATAACAAAGCGGGGAAGCATAAAACGCTGGGGAACATCAGGACCCAGGACAATAGGTACACTCCCTACTTCTTTGGGAGCACTGGAGGGAAAATAACGAGTTGGGTGGTAATTTCTTGAGGGTTCATCCCACTACAAGTGACACCCTTTTACACTTACACACCAGTCATTGATCCATTGCGATTAAAGATATTGAATTGTACAGCTTTAAAAATGGTCAGGGTACAGGTTTTTCATTTGGATTAAATGTCTCTCTCTCTGTCTACCTCTCCTCCACAGTGTTGCTAATCACCACCAGCAGAACCTGATGACCGTCGCCAATCTGGGTGTGGTCTTTGGGCCAACTCTGCTCCGCCCTCAGGAGGAGACGGTGGCCGCCATCATGGACATCAAGTTCCAGAACATTGTAGTAGAGATCCTCATAGAACACAATGAGAGGGTGAGAGGGTGTGAGTGTGTATGTATACAAATAAATAACTCGAACAGCAGAGTTTAGTGACGTGGTTGGGGATTAGGTGAATCCCATGGCTTTGTCAAGGGGATTAACTTTTGTGCAACTGAACATTAAGACAGTTAATACACCTAACCATTTACGTCTGAACAAACACTTGCCACACACACACACATTTCTGTATATAGGCCTACTCTATATACACTTCAATGCCACTTTCCCCTTTAGATCCGAGCAGCTTATTGGCAGGCCAAGCTGCTTACAGATGTCACCATGGCAACAGACAAATCAGCCCAGCAGTTTGAGACCCTACCATTGTGGACACACAGTATGTTCAGCCAGTGAAGGAAACAAACGACAGACACACAGACATAAAAACACTTATGTCACACCTGCGTGCATGCATGAATTTACAAACGCGTGCATGTTGAAATAATAACTCACACATACAAAGCACACACACACAAGAAATGTCTTTCAGTCCTCCAGACTTCCCAGACAACAGGTATCTCTAGTGCAGTGTGCAAAAACAAAATAAATAGAGTATACATACTGTGATAAAGCAGGTCTGAACCCTTAAGAGATCTCAACACAGTCCTTGCGTCACTGTTTTCTACAGCTGTAGCATAATGACAGCACTTCCCATATCGGCCCTCTCTCCACAAATAAAAAGATGATTAGATTAGATGCTTTTCAGACATTTAGTTTTTCTGATTTCAACCAAAAGCTTGTGTGACATGCTTTGTTTTCTCCTTCCGTGACAATACATCTATGTAGTGAAATGAAAAGATAATAATGTAAACAGTATTGAAATACTTTGTGACATATTGAAACATTTGTAAGTCTCTCGCTTATGACATTTTAGTGCGCTCCAACAATTTCACTGTGTTAAAATGGGTTTCCCAGCACTTTTTCCCCTTTTCCTTTTTGAGTGGAGCTATGGGTGTGGACCTGGCAGAAAAGCGGAAAAAGGCGATGACAGATAAATGGATGTGGGGATGATGACGTTTGACTTTTGCCGTAATAATTAAGACTAATAGTTGTAGCGCAGCGTTAGTTGTGGAAAACACATCAAGTTTGAAGAATATAGCGATATGTCACGTTATTGGTTAGGGAAAAAAATATGCATGTACATTTTTTTATCACAGCATGGGATTTTCTGCATCTTACCTAATTGTGCTTTAAGATGTACAAATAAATTTGTCACAATCAGTTCCAAATGCAGACTGAATGCCACAACGATCATTGCTGTTGAGTTTTTGCATATGTAATTATTCCCAGTTAAAATAAGTTTGAGACTCAGCAGCAAGCAGCTTTGGCGCTATGTTTAGCAGAGTCTAATCTGCATAGGTGACAATTCAGACATGTGGACCTAGGAATTAATATACTGTATCAGCTCTTATACTAGACATTTTCTCTTTTCAACAAAGAGCAAGAAGGCAAGAATTGTTAACTAGGCGTAAAGTGAATCATGGACATAAGTGGTTTATCAGTCATGTTGCTTTTTTAGTACTGTAGAACTGTATCAAATCACATCTTGCATATTGTTGCATGGAGTGTACAGGTTTTTACACTTAAGCTCAATATTGTGATTACTGTACCTGCCCTTAATGTGATAAGATGTGCTACATTGCCCTGCAGTTACATATGAAAGTATAAATGACTTGACAGCAATAAGAACATGCTGATGCACATTTCTGTAACTTTTCTGTGGCATTCTATGTCTATTTCTATATTGTTTCTTTGATTATACTTACACTTGACTGTCTGGCTTGCTGGTGCAGATATTCAAGGACGTGCCGAGTTCTGCAGGCAGTTCAACCAACATGCAGCTTAACCTGCCCAGGAGGAGAAGCACCGAGAGCAAAGCCCCATCCTGCAGTGAGAGGCCTCTCACACTCTTCCACACACCAACACATTCCCAGAAAGGTGAGCTAAAGCGCCTCATTTGACTAACATGTGTTATGTTTTGCTATATGGTGGGCTTAGAAAACTCACAGTGGTCAACAGATGTAAGGTTTTAGAAAAGGAAAAGGCATGTGTAAAAGCTGCAAATGAAAACATCAGAGTTTGTAAATCGTTTATTTGTTTCTTGGCAGGCCGAAAGAGGAACAGTGTGTCGAACTGCCCACAGTCGCCGAGCTGCAGCAGCCTGTTTCTCCTCTGCTAACTGTAACAGCAGCAGCAGTAGGCAACAGCAGCAGCCAAGTCGAACCCCGAGGACACGCCTGACAAAGCAATGACGGAGAAGCAGCGAGCTCCGCGGCAGATACGGCCCAGGCTCACTGTGAGTGCGGACAGTAAGGAATATAGCAGAATATGGAAACTGAATCTAAAGTCCAGGTGTTAACATTTTAGGAGGAATATATGTGCAGATAATGAAAATAAATAGTCCATAGGTAATGTTTTTCATTAGTGTAAAATCACTTGAATAATAGAATGGTGGGTTTCGTTTCTTAAATGAGCCAGGTTTTATCCCAAAAGAAAACAGGGATGAAGGGTCTCCTTCTGTTTGCTTTCAACTGCTTTTAAAATTTTAACTATACTAAATAATAATAAAATTTAGCAGATGTTATTTTGAACAATAAAAAATAGTCAAATATGAAAAAAAAAAAATAGATGTACAATTACAAATAATAATAAACATTTTTCTATTAACAGAAAACATTGTTCTGAGCTATTCTTATTGGTAAGCTGAAGTGGCAAGTCTAGATTATACAGTGGGAGGCAACATCAAAGTTTTTTGATGTTCATGACAATTAAAATCCAAGGATAAATCATTCTTCAGCATCTAGTAACATTCTGGGTACGTTAAAAGAAATCCTGTTGACAGGGCAATGTAAAGACGAAAAATGAGAACACAGAGAAACATTTGAGATAAATGTAAACGAAAAATGAATACATATATACAAGTACAATACTTAAATAACAAAGAGAATACACATATACAATATATTACACTTTAAATGCCTCATACACATGGATTCAAGAATGTTCACCCATGTTTTTCATGTATCCTAGACATTCTCAGCAGACACAGGAATGGCCAATGAACACACACACACACACACACACACACACAACGAGCACACACACCCAACACAGTATGTCAGCACCACACGTGCATATGTGGACAGCTAAGAGCCAGGGAAAGTGAGTTTGATGATTGGCAGATTGTCGGTTTAAATCCCCATCAACCGCATCTGTGGGAAACATTTGCAAAAGATGAAACTGAAGCTCCAACTGCACCAACAGTGAGAAGATTGTGTCTTCTGGAGGAAAATTGAAATAAAACAAGTAGCACAAAATCCCATACGCATAAAGTATCATGTAGCAGTCGCAAAATTAGTCAAATCAAGTTTTTTAGAATACAATCAACAATAAAAACGTACCCAGCATATATATCCTTGGATTTATCTTACAAAGTGTGCGCCACTTTCCAGGAAGTCGTCTGACCAGGAGTTTATACAGACTGAAACATCTAAGAAGACCTTTAACTTACAACAAAAATATTTTGTAAGTGGCACGGTCTGAAACAAGACCTTTGTCCCTGCTGAGAAGCTACCCGTATATCTTCCATGTAACCACACCTGGACACGCAATGCTGTGTAAACTCACCACAGCCTGCATATATCGGATTTGCCGCAACTTAAGCTCTAACAGCAGGGACACATCAACCCACAACACACACACACACACACACACCACACACGAGCCACACGCACTGTATTCAGCAGTATACATTTAATAAGGAGCCGATGGAGCTTCAGGTTCTGAAGAGCAGTGCGTAAGAGTGCCTTGAACCTGCATTCTTTCTAATGGCCAGCAGGGGGGCAACTCCACTGGTTGCAAAAAGAAAATAGATTGTATGTAAGCTTATGAGACGATGACCCTACCTCTCACTTGATTTTTTACCTCAGTAAACATTTTCCTTATGAGTTTATGATCTCACTTGGTCACATACAGCATGATGTTGATTTTGTAAACTGTGGTCCCATTTAGAGTAAAATAGACAATAAAGCAGAGGGTGCCCTCAGGTTCTCAGGCAAATCTAATCAGGAGAAAGGCAGAGCAATGTAATGTGGTCACTTCTGGCACCCAAAAACCTTCTCACACCGCTCTCTGTATTCCTTCCGATCCACGGAGCCCTACTCGCTGCAGTTCAGTGTCCTGGAGAGGAGCAACAAACACTGGTGGCTAAGGTCCCACTGCAGCTCGGGGCAAACCTGCTACATCCTAGCCTTATAGGAATAAATGTAATTCAGACCATTAGTTAGACAGAGAAGTGTTTTTATGATACTATTTTTGGGCATTGTTGAAGGCCATGGTTCGCCTCTGGGTGTTATGTTAAGTTCAAAGAGATACTTCATCCACAACTGATTGTTAAAGTATTAGAACATTAGAAAATAAATAAAACTAAGAGAGCTAGGGCCTGGAAGAGATATTGGTCTCATAGACTCGTGATGTGTCATGGAGAGTAAAAGAGAGAAAGAAAATCATCTATAAATAGTCTTTCCATTACGAGTCACATTAGAGAAACATTTAATGACTGAGGTGAACAGTCAAGGGCAAGATGGTGCATTATATGTTAATTAGCTTCTATTCTTATTTGATGCCTTTTCTCGTGTTTAGGTTATCCTTTTATGGAATATAGAGATGTCAAGTGTTTTATAAATGTGCCGTTTCGATGTATTGTATGTATGCGAGATCAAGGTTAAATAGGTTTCCCTTTATTAACTATGCCCTAGCAAATTTAGTCGTTAGCATCTTGCAATGTCTAAGATAGAAAACCTTACACTCTTTGCACTTGGGTAATTGCTACATTTTATTTCCATGCATGAAAAAAGAGCTCAGTGTGAACAGGCATACACCAGATTATTTTAGAGTTAAAGATCGACCTGTTGAGAGATTTTCTCCTACTCAACAACCAAGCTTTCTGGCTGTAGTAGTCAGTGAAGTGTGACTCTCAAAGGAGCTGCAAGGGCCAAGATAGACATGGTGAGATTCTCAAGCTTGTTCCAGGTTGTTTTAAAGCAACAGTCTCACGTTGTGAGAAATTTGTGAGCCGTCTTACTCAGAGTCAGATAAGATGATGCAAAACCCACAATAATCATTTTGATATCTGTGTGTTTTGTACAAAGATATGTCTAGCTTATCTTGGCACCTGAAAGAGACATGAAACCAGGGTAATAAAATCCATCCAACTTGAAGGCAAAGAAACATACACCTGAGACAGATTCCCTTTTGGAAGTACAGTATTAGCTCCAGTATTAGTTGATGTAATACCTGCGCCACTCTCTCATGTAGAAATAATATTGTTTGCTATTCTTTCTTAGCTTACTAACACTGTCACTAAGGATGGCACAATGACTATTCTGTGAATCAAAGGTTTACATTTGCATCAAAATAGCAGATGATAAGTATTTTTTTGAAAAACAAAAACAAACATAACATACATTATACTCGAAAAGGCTTTGGAAAAAATGTGTTGCCAGGATACTAAAATGTTCTTGACAAGGACAAAGATGGCAAACCTAGTGGAAGCATGAGATTATAGATATTGGCTGTTAGGACACAAAATTAGAAGAGAATCAGCAACACATATTTTGTGCACAGTTGGTGTGTTGTCCTTGAAACCTGTAACTAAAGGATTCAGATTCAGATTCAGAT